ACAGAAATTTCTGACTTGCCCTCATGCAAATGCTGTGAGTTTACCTCATCCCCATTCACACACCACCTGGTGAGGAGAGAGAAATGTTACTTGATTTGAGGTAAATTTCAGCAACTATTTGGCCAATTCATTCATGCAGTGAGCTGTTGGACCTGTTCCACACAAGGGATACAAAACAGAGTGCAAGTAAAATGGAAGGAGCATGATGTGCAGCCGTAGAGTGGCGAGTGCTTCACAGTGTACCACAAAAAACACAATATGTGACATATGAGGAATTCTAGTAAGTTCTGAAGCCACAAGAAATCACCAAACAGGTATGTAAAAGAACATTTCATTTATTCTGCACTGCGATCTGCTGACTGAAAAACATCATAACCGAAATACACAAAGCCCAGCACATGAATCTCTCATAGGATGGGGTATTAGGATTTAAAAGCCCTGCATATGGGTCTCATGTAAGTTAAAGGTTAAGTAAATATGATATGTGAGAGAGAGAGAGAGAGAGAGAGAGAGAGAGAGAGAGAGAGAGAGAGAGAGAGAGAGAGAGAGAGAGAGAGAGAGAGAGAGAGAGAGAGAGAGAGAGAGAGAGAGAGAGAGAGAGAGAGAGAGAGAGAGAGAGAGAGAGAGAGAGAGAGAGAGAGAGAGAGAGAGAGAGAGAGAGAGAGAGAGAGAGAGAGAGAGAGAGAGAGAGAGAGAGAGAGAGAGAGAGAGAGAGCACAAGTGAAATTGTGCAAATCCAAATGTATGTGCTAGTATTCAACTGTGCCAAGATGTTCATTTCCTTTAAGTTCCTTCACAAAAAAATGTAATTTTAAAATATCAAATCCAGGTATGTTGAATTTCATGGATGACAGCCACACGGAAAACTACTTATTATTCGGTATTTTAATTATTATAGCATGAGATTTCAATTTTTACACATGTATTACAAATAGTTATTGGTTAAAAACACCGACGTGAAATGCAAAAATAATCCTACATAAACACACACAATGACTTGAAAGTGTGACCATAACAATAATCTTCAAATCAGCATGCCTTCTGGTGCAATAACATTCAAACGTCATGACAGAGTATTTATTAATGCTTCGAAACAACAGATAAGCATTTATGTGGGAAAGATCAAAGCAGAAGGAAAAGGGGTCCCTCAGAGCAGGACTGACAATAATGCAATATGTATAATGAAAAGAATAGTTGCATACCAAATTTTAAATAATATTTGAAACTTAATGTCTTTTGCGTAAATATTTCAATAAGAAATCAAGAAAGGAAGGAAACAATTTATCACAGCGGCTTCTATTCTGTGCAATAATCTACCTGGTTGCTACATAACAATGAAAACATCGGAATATTCTAGTGTTTAAAGTAAGATGGTGCCCATATTGGGGGGGGGACTCAGAATGATTATTTTTCTCATTACTTACAGGTATTAAACAGAGAAAGAGAGGATCAAAGATTAGTAATGGATGATCAATGACTGAGCAGTTCACCATAAGCCAGAATTTAATTTTTAGCATGAAAGTAACGTGAGGATTTCTTATTTTAAAAGGGGAGAGTAAAGTAGTGGGTGCTTATTTCGCGACAGGGAACGAGGTAAGAGTTCTGATTCTTCCTAGCGCCTCTTCAAATAACAGAAGTTTGACATTCTTTTCATTATCAGTATGGAAATTTAATGTTAGAGTGTACTAAATTCATTTTACATCCAAAGTGCTTGGTTCTTGCAAACAAAGCCAATTCAACGATACTTGAGAGTTAGTGGATCAGTATTCAAACCGCAACTGAGTTAACATGTCAATGTTGGAGAATGCAGCTAAGCTAAAAGAATAAAACTGGCTCAAACTTACCACAAAGATATCTGCAAAATAAAAAGTCGAACACCCCTGCCCCACGATTTTATTGGTTTTGCTATGACTCCACAACACTAGTACAGCCTGTAGCAGATGATTGGGATAACACAAAATTACGCTGTTAAGACACCTTTTCTTTCTTTTCCTGAAGATCACAGACAAGAAAGGAAAGGTAGAATTTTAATCGTCATGGCAAACATTTAGGAGCAGGATCCAGGCAGCCAGCATAACACACACAACAAAGAAAAGAAGAAGGGCCACAATAGAATCTGAGGAAGCGAGACACGGGTCATGTGTGGCAAGGCTACAAGACAAAACATAAAGAGTACAGTTAAAAACTTCACAAAAAGTATGTATAATCAAGCTCAGAAAATGTATTCCATACCAGAATGCACATAATATCCTCATGCGTTCTTTGCAATGTGTGTTTAGAGGTATTAAATCCACCTTGTTTGATAGTTCCCACTTTGGCCACCAGATCACAGCACCTCAATGTCTAACTCATGCCTTTCCTCATCTGTCAATTCATTATCATCACTCATAGGATAATCAAAAGTATGATTTTTAGGGCACACAGAATAGCACTACCTCCATATCAAATTTCATCCCGATCTGTCCGGTGGTTTTTGACTGGACAGACGGACAGACAGATACAACCAGCCCATAATGCATTCTCCCTATGCACTTCATGCAAAGAATGCATACTGAATAACAAAAAACCATATTCCCTGTTTTAGTATGAAGCTTCTCTGTTGCAGCAAAGTAACTATGTTCAATTTTCAATAGTTGCTAATACTAAAAAATTCAGTTTCTGCAAGTCTGATATTTGGGTACCAACTAAGCAATGCTAGCTCAACTTTCAGAACCCTATGATGAAGATGATCTCAGTTTTGCTACCATGTCAACTCCATGGGGAGAGACATGCTGAAGACTATGGGACAACACCATGGACACAGTAGAGACCCCTCCCGGTGAGGCAGAAATTATGGTGCCAAAAATTTGCACAATGGCTCTAATCTAGAAGGAGAAGAAACTGTTACATGTAGCAAAAAGTGTAGCACAGTCCAGACATGGCAAGTGTAGTGTGTTCAACATGCAATGGGGGTAAATTAACAATGTAACAAGAAGAACTGACCATAGAAATGGCAAGATAAAATAGAAAACACAAGAAGTCAAAGTCGACAGAAATAAAAACATGAGTGTACCCTTTATATCTCCTGTCAGGATGCGGACAAACCTAACTCAATGAGGAATTTTGTTGTTGTACCTCAAAATATAACATGACATAAGATTAGAGTCATAATTTCTTGTGTGTGTTCAGAATTCAAAACGTGAATCATGTAAACAAAGCACGGAGAGAGCAGATAGAGTACCAGGGTGTATAAGAAAGGAAAAACATGAGACATCCTTTTGCGTCTGCTGGTCACTGCCTGAAAGAGCCCACTTCAACCAGAGTGTAAGTACGCCTGAAAGAGCCCACTTCAACCAGAGTTTAGGTATAGAAACCACATGTAAGTACTACTGCAATGTCACACAGATCAGAACAGCAATTAAAAAAAGAAGAAGACTTCTTTGTTGCAAAGTGAAATCTTAATAGATTATTAAAACAGAGGTGCAGAATAAAATAACTGCAGAAATTAAATGTCTACATAATGTATGTTGGGCATTTAAATGCTGTACAATGCTAATGTGAATACGCCAAGCTTAGAGCACAGTACATATCTTCCAAAAGAATCAACCGACTCTTTCAAAGGGATGTCAGTACGTGGTGAACGCGATACCTCAACGTATTTTTTGGACATACGGTAGGCAGCTGTGCCTTCGTACCAACTCCCCAAATGTTTTTCTGTTTCACATCAGTCATATGTATTTCAACCTCGGTGAATCAAGCATTGTTCATAAGAAACTAACAATCATTCTTCATTCTCAAAAATTAATTTTTGCTGTAATCCCGAGGCTAACTCTCCTTTTGAGTATCCTGTTTATAAAACTGAATGTACTTCCCAGAATGGGATCTGGCACTTAAATCTCATATCTCCATCTAAAATCATGTACTTATTTCGCGACAGGGAACGAGGTAAGGGTTCTGATTCTTCGTTGTGTGATGAGACATTTGCCTCTTATACAACTTTCTGGAGACTGAGTGACCGGCTGTGTGCATCTCAGCCTGCAAAGACGCAGCTTCCAAAACATTGAGGTTTAATCACTTATCAAAACAGATGGTCACTTGAGAAGATAATTTCTGTATCAGTCATAGAAATTTCATATTTTACACCTTCCTCCCATTTCCCACCTGAAAATCTTAAGGTCAGAACACTCATAACAACTTTTGTGTATATTCTGGACACGTTATAACAAATCAATGCAGACAGAACTTTCTTTAAGGTATTACATTTTCTATTCTGGTTTTCAATGAGTGTGTATCTAAACAAATTATAATACAGGCCTTCCAAGTTATAACAATCCTCTGGAGACCCAAGAAAGGAACCAACAAAAAAATAGGTCTCTATAATAGAGCTGCGGACACAAAAAACATTAAACAATATTATACTTATTATTATTATTGTACTTATATCCCAACAACATGCATACCACACCGGCAGGTCCGTAGAGACAGCTCTTCAGTCTTCTTTACAAGACTGAGAGGGCACTCAAGGGTGGGCTTAGCACTCTGGAAATATTTCTGGACAGAGGGTCCATTTGACAATACCACATTTCAATGTACAAGGTAAGTAAACAGCAGGGGGTGGACTGGGCTGTAATAAAATGGACGCTTGGAAGCTAGAAAACTGTGACAGCCCGAATGAGTTATTGGTTGAGGGTGTCTGTAGGGGAGGGGTTCGTCCTCACTACTGTGCACCCTGGTGAGGGATGGACATCTTGCATGGCTCAAGAGGGAGGGTCAGTGCACAAGGCTGCACTGATGACCTGGCCTTGTTGATAACTGGGAAATTTGCAAGTACTGTCTCAGAGCTCATGCAAAGGGTTAAGACATTAACATTCTACCAAAAGGCATGCATTTCTTTGTCTGCCAACATCTGAACCAGATTTAACTGGAGGAAAACACATTTCTGAAGCAAACAGGGACTTGTGACAAGGGTGCAACACCCTGTATTATGAAGACTGATATTTTAGCTGCAATTTATATCACAAAAATATTAGAATAAGCTAAAGATTCACATACTTGAGAGCACCTGGTGCACTGGGCACCCTCACAATGCCACCAGCTAATGGCGGTGGCATCAAATTTGAGTCTGTCATCTCCTCTCGAATGGCTGTGGTGCCAAGTAATTCTGTGCAAGTCAGCCGGTCCTGGTTGGTGGTTAATGAAATAATGGGATACAGCAGTTCCTCTGGTAATGCCGTTAAGCGTCGAATCTTGTGCGGTATTGTAACACTCATTCGTTGCGCATTATCATTAGAGCTGCGGACACAAAAAACATTAAACAATATTATACTTATTATTATTATTGTACTTATATCCCAACAACATGCATACCACACCGGCAGGTCCGTAGAGACAGCTCTTCAGTCTTCTTTACAAGACTGAGAGGGCACTCAAGGGTGGGCTTAGCACTCTGGAAATATTTCTGGACAGAGGGTCCATTTGACAATACCACATTTCAATGTACAAGGTAAGTAAACAGCAGGGGGTGGACTGGGCTGTAATAAAATGGACGCTTGGAAGCTAGAAAACTGTGACAGCCCGAATGAGTTATTGGTTGAGGGTGTCTGTAGGGGAGGGGTTCGTCCTCACTACTGTGCACCCTGGTGAGGGATGGACATCTTGCATGGCTCAAGAGGGAGGGTCAGTGCACAAGGCTGCACTGATGACCTGGCCTTGTTGATAACTGGGAAATTTGCAAGTACTGTCTCAGAGCTCATGCAAAGGGTTAAGACATTAACATTCTACCAAAAGGCATGCATTTCTTTGTCTGCCAACATCTGAACCAGATTTAACTGGAGGAAAACACATTTCTGAAGCAAACAGGGACTTGTGACAAGGGTGCAACACCCTGTATTATGAAGACTGATATTTTAGCTGCAATTTATATCACAAAAATATTAGAATAAGCTAAAGATTCACATACTTGAGAGCACCTGGTGCACTGGGCACCCTCACAATGCCACCAGCTAATGGCGGTGGCATCAAATTTGAGTCTGTCATCTCCTCTCGAATGGCTGTGGTGCCAAGTAATTCTGTGCAAGTCAGCCGGTCCTGGTTGGTGGTTAATGAAATAATGGGATACAGCAGTTCCTCTGGTAATGCCGTTAAGCGTCGAATCTTGTGCGGTATTGTAACACTCATTCGTTGCGCATTATCATTAGAGCTGCGGACACAAAAAACATTAAACAATATTATACTTATTATTATTATTGTACTTATATCCCAACAACATGCATACCACACCGGCAGGTCCGTAGAGACAGCTCTTCAGTCTTCTTTACAAGACTGAGAGGGCACTCAAGGGTGGGCTTAGCACTCTGGAAATATTTCTGGACAGAGGGTCCATTTGACAATACCACATTTCAATGTACAAGGTAAGTAAACAGCAGGGGGTGGACTGGGCTGTAATAAAATGGACGCTTGGAAGCTAGAAAACTGTGACAGCCCGAATGAGTTATTGGTTGAGGGTGTCTGTAGGGGAGGGGTTCGTCCTCACTACTGTGCACCCTGGTGAGGGATGGACATCTTGCATGGCTCAAGAGGGAGGGTCAGTGCACAAGGCTGCACTGATGACCTGGCCTTGTTGATAACTGGGAAATTTGCAAGTACTGTCTCAGAGCTCATGCAAAGGGTTAAGACATTAACATTCTACCAAAAGGCATGCATTTCTTTGTCTGCCAACATCTGAACCAGATTTAACTGGAGGAAAACACATTTCTGAAGCAAACAGGGACTTGTGACAAGGGTGCAACACCCTGTATTATGAAGACTGATATTTTAGCTGCAATTTATATCACAAAAATATTAGAATAAGCTAAAGATTCACATACTTGAGAGCACCTGGTGCACTGGGCACCCTCACAATGCCACCAGCTAATGGCGGTGGCATCAAATTTGAGTCTGTCATCTCCTCTCGAATGGCTGTGGTGCCAAGTAATTCTGTGCAAGTCAGCCGGTCCTGGTTGGTGGTTAATGAAATAATGGGATACAGCAGTTCCTCTGGTAATGCCGTTAAGCGTCGAATCTTGTGCGGTATTGTAACACTCATTCGTTGCGCATTATCATTAGAGCTGCGGACACAAAAAACATTAAACAATATTATGTACAACTGAAAGTGACTTAGGCAAAGTCACTTAACATTACATTATGACATATCAGAAGGATATACATAACTTGTAACAAACAGGCCTAAGAATACACCAACAATGTCTACTGATACTCGATGGGGAAACCAAAAAAAGTTTAAAATAAACTTTAGTGTGCGCTTCACCTTTACCTTTTCAAATTATTTGCTGCTTGGAGCACAGATTAGCTTTTTTAAAGTTAACTGTGAAATAATACATATATATAACTATACACATCAAAAAATCACTTGGAGAGACAATAATGGAATTAAATACAAATCATAAAATAAATAATCTTGCTGCTATCATGAGCTACTAATAAAGCATTAAAGGCTATTTCATATTATCTGAGACAAAAGAATAAATTATTTACCAAGAGTTATTTTTGAATGTGGAATATTTTCCTTGTATTCATCACTTTTTGGTGTTTCTCACACTTCAGTGTAAAACGAAGAACACCTTATAGGAACATGCACATCTGTCTGATCTTTCAACTAACCCCATGCAAGGCTAACCCCCCCTCCCCCCACCAAAGTATCCACAAGGGGTGAAGTGAACCCAGGGGCTTGTACTTATATCTCCCTGGGGGTTCCACCCTGGGGTTTGTCCCAGCAGGGCTCTTTCCCAATTGGCCTTCATCCCATTAAAGTTTGGCCACCCTTTAGGGATTTTCCTCCCCTCGAGCATTACCTCACTAGCTTTCCCACCATATTTACTCCTTATGGCTTGGATCCCAATTTTTTAAATATCTTTTCAAACACTTCAATTAAGTACAGCATACTGCAGGTGAGAGGATGTAGTTAATGGAATAGTGAATTTTATATTACTTCTGGATTACTGGGAGATGATAAGCACAGATAAAAAAGCAAAAACTTCCAACTCTTAGGTAGAATCTGAACCCACATCCAAATAACATGGAGATATAATTGCATAACCTTCATTAATCCCTTTTCCATTTGAGAAAAAAGTTGCCTCTGTCTCAACAAGAAATGTTGTTTTGTTCATACAATACCACAGACACAACAAAGGTTTCACATGCTTCTAATAAAATAAAACATAGCAGATTTCTCTAAATAATCATTATTCAAATCTTTGCTTAGATTCTGTGTTCTTCTATCTTGGAAGGCAAGGAGATGGAGCCCTGAAGACAGGAACAGTTTGTTTCTCTGAAATGAAACTTCCAGAACAGATTCTGAAGGAGGGACAGTATCTCAGAAGGTGACTGTAATATTATTTTCATGTGCCAATTTAAAGATGAAGTCCATGCAAAACTTTAATACTGTATAAGAAATTGCTTACGTGTCTGTAGGAGAGTTAGACCTTGAAGACTTTGCAGAACTATCTGATGATAATACTGCAATGTTGTCATTATCAGCACGCTCATTCAACAGATGCTCCAGTAGCTGCTGCTGTGTGCTATTCTCCTGTTTGAGCTGGCAACATGCAGACAAAAACCAGTGTTAGAGGAACAGAAAATTATAAAAACCTTCATGACAGATACAACTTAAGATCACATATCTGAGCTCAAACCAGTTCTTTTAAAAAATTTTAGAACACAACTTGAAAATGGTTACATAAACAATAGAAGTACAATTTCACGCTCTAATGGCAGCAGGTACAAAGACGACCGCCTTCTGGGTTGTAGCGCTGTGTAGCGTGGTAGAAGTTTACCAATGTCTCTGATGTATTTGCTGCCTGTATCATCAGGATGATCAGGAAGCTGTAATCTGGCCCTGCTGTTGGCTACCTCGCCATTGTCAATGCTCACCCACGTCCCCGCTGGTCTGGCCGAGGTTCTGCCTTCACTGACTGGTTCCTACACCTCAAACCCAATCTCACATGCAGCTTACTCACTGCCCTGATGATGGAGACAGTAAGTACCCACCTTCACTTCTCACATTGGAAGCACCAATGCTCATGAACACCATAAAGTGTACAAGGTAGCACATAAAATGATACCTGATTAAAACATTAAATAAAAGCTGTAATATCCATATAACTGTACATATAAACACACAAACAGATTCATCCTTTATGGATCATATGCTCAGTATGACCAACATTCTATTATGTATTCTCCAAAACATGTATGGCTACATTTGACAATACAAATCCTCCATAATTTCGCCACACATCTGAATGTCCACAGCCCTGCATTGCATTATCAAAGCTGTTCTTTCAAACAGTTTTTCCTTAAGGTAACTCCAAAAGAAAAAGTCAAAGGGGTGTATATCCAGGCTACTGGGTGGCCACTTCTGTCCACATACATGGCAAGCAGGATGTCCATGGGAAATCACATGTGGACTGAAAGTGTCTTGTGTGAAGTCCAAGACAACATTTGCTGTGTGTGTGTGTGTGGTGTAGACCCATCTAGCTTTAATCATTGTGTACTCAATGGCAAACCAGTTTTGATAAGATGGAGCACAAAACTGTTGTGCAGTATAAACGTTAAAGAAATTCTCCTTAAAATCTTTCTTCTATCTAAAACCATATTTATTTATTCTTATAGTCATCCATGTACTTGGATGATATGCTGCATGTCTGGAGATAAAAAATAATATTCCAATCACATTTATATTTAGATGAACACTGATACTCTACTCTTCCTTTTTGACTGCTGTGAACTTCATTGCTCTCTGCTATAATGACCACAGCCGACACACTACTGAACACAATAATAATTCACTGCAATCTATACGATGCATTTCAAAATTCACAAGTAAATTGGAAAATATACATGTATCAAAACCACGGCTGGTGGATGTAACAAGCATGACGAAGTAAATACGACTGGTAATAAATGTATCAACTTTCCTTACCCACAGCTTGACATCATGCTAAGACTTGTCTGTCCAGCTCGTACGACCTTTGTTTGACTTCGTGCCAAGTGTTCTTTCTGGGTGCTATTAGTATCTCTATAGCAGTACTTAAATTAAAAGAACTTGGAAATCCGAAGTTAAAGCGTCTTTTAATATATTTATTCTGCTAACAACAGAATAATTAATCGTCCACCCAGTGTGCCACGTAAAGAGTTAAAAGTTAATACACTACCTCGTTTGGCTTGGCTTCCATCTCTTTGACAGCAAGTTCTTTCTGTGCAGCCAAGAAACTTTGGTTGATAGCCATGTTACACAGTTTCTCAATCAGGTATCTTGAGTCCATCTCTGTCAGGCCTTGTACCAAGCTTGCTACATCCAGAGTATCCAAGTTCTCCTGCAAGTTTCATGTCAGTATGAACACAATCGTAACAGCTATAAAACCACGTTGAACAGAATGTGTGGTCACAGATCTGGAAAGATGCAAATCTTCCTTCCTCCAGAAATGTAACTTCATATTCTGAAAACGTGGCACTAGGGTAAACAGTACATGAGGAAATAATTCATATCAATATAAACATTTACTAAGAAAGAATAAAGATCTTACAATCAGAGAAACAGTGACTGAAGGAAAGAAAGGAATCGTTTTTCACATGCCCACGTTACAGTTATAGCAGTTACAGTCACTGGACTAACATGTCCATCCATGTGATAAATACACACACATACATATATATGCACACATTCACACATACATAAGTATATGTGTGCATTCTCTCATTTTAACACAAAAAAAAGATTCAAACAAAATGTATATCATGTTTAATAGGCTATACACTAAGCAGTGAAGTACTAATTATGACAGTGGTCACCATTTTTAATAGTTATTAACTGTAACCTTTGTTCAAAGATAAAATTTTCAATTTAAATATGTACTGATGCATCTGTCTCTCATAGCTTATGTGGTGACATCTCAGTAACAGTTCATCAAAAATGAATGTGTTGTGTAAACGTCTCAAATCTGGGAGTAATTCTAGATTAAAAAGAATTATATTTAAAAAAGAGATGGTATCCTTGATAACTTCATAACAACGATTCCATAATCAATATTTTATTGGTTAATGTATACCCCATTAGACACTGTGTACATTTTAATGTTATTGTTTTGTAAACTTTAAAATGATAAAATTTAGGTTCCAAAGTTAGGTGGGACAACCTGTGTGTGTGTATATATGTGTATGTGTGTGTGTGTATATATATATATGGCAATAAGCACATAAACTTGCATAAAAATCATCTGACAGTTGGAACACAAGTAAAAATTGAATTAATGTGTGTATCCTAAGTTAATGTTGGTCTTCCTAGTTGTAACACAATGTGGATTTGCAGGAACATACCAAAGTTTCAGGACTGACGTGGGACAGCCCTCTCATCAATTTGAGTATCAACTAACATAAAATATGTTGGACTTGAAGTTTTCATAGTAATGTGAGAATGGATGTTGACCCAAAGGGCTACTTCACCATACAGACCTTAGATTGAATATCAGCATTTCAGATGAATATATTATTGCCTCCATTATGTGAGCTGAAGTGAGTAAGTGGACAGCTTATTTAGTGTTATGAGAAGGCCAGGCCAGGTGGACTGGTTCTGAATGAGAATAACCTAACCACTTCCTCACAAAGATAATAAGACAGCTGTAACATGATTCCAGAGTAAGTGTGAAAGGAAATAAAAATCCAGCCCAAACCTTGCTCTCCTCAATCTGCATTATGTTTGCCTGAGATTCTGCAATGCTTTCCTGCACATAATCAATGTTGGCTTTCATGCGCTCTATCTGATCCTCCAAGTCACGAATCACTGAGAAATCCTGGCGACTTATAAGAGCATGGTCTCTACGATGCATCAGCTGGTCCAGAGATCGTCCAAGTTCCTCCCGATATCGTAGCTGCCTGCACACCAACATCACCAAGATCAGCCATCTACACAGAATTCTAAGAATGTCAAGCATTTTGAAGTATGACAATGGCAAACATTCAAAATCAAGAAAGTAAATACAGCAAACTTCAAATTATCTGGGCTAATGAAGAGGAGAAGATGCACAAATAATCACAAAACATGGATAATCCATGCATTCACAACACATCAAAAATAGCTTTACTTTTTTTATATAAGTGACTTAAATTTTGAGAAACAGCTTTTAACAGCCACTTATTTTTCAAGAACTGTCCAGATGTACTTGCAGCAAATCATTTTTCCTGGCAGCCGCAAAGTCACTGTATTGAGACTGTCTCAACCCATGCCGTCTAGTGAAGTGACGACACACTGCAGTGCCATGCTATGACTGTCAGTACCACCAAGAAACAAAATAGAGGTGGGGAGGAAGAAGAATGTAGTGAGTGCATCAATGCCAGTGTCTGCCACATGCTGGAAGCTCATTTTACACACATCACTCTGTACCTATTACTCAATATTATTAAACAGCACGTGACTGCAGCTATAAAGACAAGTACGCACTTTAGTCTTCAGCTGTATGAAACAACTGATGTCAGTGACAACGCACAGCTCATAGCATAAGTATGCTATCCTGGGATAATAGACATGGAAGAAGAATTTCTGTTTTGCCAGCCACTGACTACGACCACAACAGGGGAAGATATTAAAAAAAAAGACTAATTTTTCAATTAATAAAGTATGATCTTGAATCTGTGTTTCAGTTTGTGTACTGACTGACGTTACACAAACAAAGTCTGGAGCACGCTATGGCTTTTGTGCCAGAGCAAAGGAAGTGAATCTGGTGAAAATTCTTTGCCTCCTGCACTGTGGCAATACTGATTCTAAGAAGCTATTGGAGGAGCTTGATATTATAATGAAAGAAGTCATTCAAGTTTTAATTTTATAAAATTTAGGTTGGTCAACAACAGGACTTTTAGCCAGATGCACTGACATTGGTTCTGACTACATGTATGTACTTCATCATCGTGAAGTCTGGTGGCTGTCACAAGGAAAGATGCCTGAATGAGTTGACATTTTGCAATGAGGTCAAAATCTTTGTCTGAAAAAAAAGTTCTGATCCCCTCCAAACACTTTCCTAAGCCCTATTTATGTCAGCATTACCATCTAAATTCTGGAAAGCCACAAACCAGCTCAAGATTTTAACCTGATACTCTTCATAATTTAGCTTTCTGAGACTGAAACTCTTGTTTGTATTGCTTGTTTACTTACCAATAATCTATCTAACTTTTGCTACCACCAAATGATGGTCAGCATCACAGTCAGCCCCTCTAAAAGAACAGCTACCAAGCATACCTTTCCATGAGTTAAAGTCCAAATGCATCAACAAATTCTGTGATGTGGGCACAGTGTAACGTTGACAATTACATTTTTCACATGGCAAAATTCACTAACCTCATTACATTATCATTACTATTTTCATGTAAACTCTCATTATCAATTGGCAATTGCATTGCAATCTTGTAAAAAAAAATGTTCATTTGTTTATGGAACTGAGAAAATACAAGCTCTATCTCCTCATAAAATGTGTTCTTTGTATCAACACTTTTATCCTCAGTTGATACACCCATGTTCAGAACAATAACATCACTCCACAACTTCTGAATATTATATAAATATTACATCGTATCTCTAACAGACTCTACCTTCTTAACTGATATGACTGCTGTCTGCACAAAAAAGCATGTTCTTAAGCAACAATTAGAATTCCCACGTCCACAAAAAGAGTATAATCGACTGTTTATTTAGTGTTTCCCTTTTCCTACCTGACATAAAGCTCTGACAAACCTAATTCATACTTTGCTAATTCTCTTAAAACTGTTTCAAGAGAACAGACCCTATACAGACTCCGGGTATTCCATTTAAAAATACTATATGCTTCAGTACCTGTCCATGTCACGTTCCATGGATGCAACAATTTGTTTGCTAGTTGCAGTCTTTCTGATATTATTCTCCAACTGCTGCCATCTATGTTTAACTTGCTTTGGAGAAACACCAAGTCGTTTCGAAGCTGTTTATCAAAAAAAAAAATGCAGCTCAGAAATAATAAATTATACTGACTGCAAACAATGCTACAACTTAAGACTATGAATTGAAAGATAGCAGAATTCACTTGGTATTAAGTCCACATTTGTATTGAGTTCGTGTAAGTTCACTAAACATTTATAACCTCTGCACCTACAGCACAATACTTGAGAGTACAAACAGCCAAATACCTTATGTCACATAACTACAACACATAACATACTACTTTATAAATTCAGCATTACATATCACCTATACAACACTAGAGTGTGCATGATTTACAAAATTCAACAAAATTTTACTATTTAGTCCCACATATGGCACTAGAGGCAGCTGTGGATGCTGATAAATTTTGCTGCACAAAGCAGTAACTCAGAGTAATATGTCATTTAATACAATGGATCTAACTGGAAGGAAATAGAAGAATAAAAATTTATAACATGCCATAACCTTCAATAAACATGTATATATAATATCAAATAACCATAAATACTCCAACAACCTACCGTGCCTAGGTCCGATTCTGCCAACGGCCTTATTGCTGAGTGGTCCACGATGCATTTTGCGCAAAGCAGTAACTTCCTCGTGCTTGCGTTTCAAAACTGCTTCTTTTACCCGTTTCTCTGCCTCCAAGGATCGAATCGTGTTTTCCCTTTTGCGAGATTCCTTTCGCAATTGTGCAATTTCACGATTCCTTCGTACTTCCACATCCTTGTGCTTTGCTGATTCTTCTTTCATCTTATTCAAGAGTTTTACCTGAGAATGAAAGGCCAGATACAGTCCCATTTTCAAAAGTGCTATAAATTGTAATCTAACGCACAGGCCTAATCAAATTCTTCGCAGAAAGAACAATATGTAATCTGATTTTTCTGAAGACAGAATGTTTCCTTTATCTAGTTTATTTAAAAACTCTGTCAGCAGTCAGACTCTACTGTGCTGAAGAAGTGATCAACAGAAAATGACATGCTGTGGTGATGGCTGTACTCAACCAATGAATATCAACTACACTGCCTAGCATTTTCTGAGAGCAGTGTGGATCACCAGTGGGACAGTAATATTCTCTGATGAATCTACCTCTCTGAATAGTTAAAAAGCAGAAGCCATTTCTTTTTTAAAAAAATATAATAATAATAATAATTTATATATGTCCAACTACAGAGTAAAAATTGTCAAAACTTATAATAAAGCTGCCCTTAAGTTTTCATTTACTTTTATGCATTAACTACGTACTCTAACAGTTCAAGATTTGAAATTCTCATAGCAGTAAAGATGTCAACGGTGGTCCTCTGGGTTATGATGCTGTGTAAAACTGTACTTGGCTACCAACTTTTCAGAGACACCCAGTAGATGGAGGTGACATAATCCTCCAAATCACTGATAGCCACCTACAAGACTGTGCAGCATTCAAACTTAAAAGACAACAACTTACACAGTCTGACAATATCAAGAACGGTAATTTTAAATGGCATTGCTAAGTGTAGTTTATTTTCAGAAGAAAGAAAAACCTTAGTCTGATTGTTATAATGTAACACACACAAGTTTCAAAGATCTTAAAAATACGTAAAGTATCAGAACAAGCTCACCTTTGCACGTTTCATTTCAGCCAAGTCATTCTTCAGTGCCTTCACCTGGTTTTCATGCTGGGTCTGGTTGCGAAGTAATCTTGCATGTTCTTTCTTTGCCGACTGAAGTCTTTTCATCTCCTTTTGCATTTCTGATAGTTTACGTTCATACTCATCACGTACTTTCCGCTCTTTCTCAGTTGGTTTGTTGGTTTGATTAGCTGTGAACATGGCATGCACCATAGCTTGGTTGACAAATAAGGTCTGTTCTCTTTGCTATTCATTATTATTATGCATTATGGTGTCGACTGTACACACACATACACACATCAAGGGTCTTCAACCTATGAACCACAATCTATATGAAACCTGTCACTAGAAAGAGGTGGTCAAGACCTCACAAAGATTTAGTGAGGCAGTGGTCAGTTACCTCAAACAAGAGCATGACTGCCGATAACAACAAATATTAGTACTTATTCTACACGTGCCACCTAGTTTGGGGAGTGAGAATTTCCTAACCGGTTCTCCAAGAGAAATGCAGTACTTAGGGTTGACAGTAATCTTCAAAGTTACTGCCAGAACACGTTCAAGTCAAAATGCATTTCTCAAGTAGGCCTATTAGTCAGCCAACATCTACAGATGTTCACGGTGTGTTTATTGCAGAATTGAGACCATAAATTTTCATGCTCACTGCAATGTGCATTGTTGACACAACCGAATTTACAGTAAAGATGGATTCTCCTGGGTTGTTATGCTGTATTATCTGAAGTTTACTGACGTTTCAAACGTGCTTGCTGCCTCCATAACCAGGGTGACAGATGCAGCAAGCATCTCTGAAATGTAGGCAAACTTCTACCAGACTACACGGTACAGCAATCCAGAAGACAGCCATCTTCAGACTTCCTACCATGAGAACCTGAAACCTCAAGACTTTACTGTTGTTTGCTTCAAGACAGAAATGTGGCATTTCCTTCTCAGACATAAATATCATTCTTTGCAAAATTTCTATGAGTTCTTTTCTCTGGTATGTAGTTTTCTAAGTGTATGCAGAACGCACATTTCTTTGGCATTAGTTGCTTTGGGGAACCATAATTAAAGAAAATTGAGCTACATTAAAGAAAATACCATACATAACATTTTTATCAAAAACAGTAAAGCGCAATCTGAATTTGTTTCTACAAATGGGAGAGTACTGTTGTTTTGAAAGAATACAATACTGTCAGACATTAAAATTAAAAGCACAAATAAACATACAAAAACTGTATCAGTGCTCTGAAAAAAGAACAAGTGGTGGTTTTAAAAAGGGGGCCTGAGTAACAACAATGGAGTGATAGTTCCTCTGCACTGCAAGCAAATTATTTTGCTACTCACTTGCCGATTAACGAGCAAACTTCTTTCTGATGGGAAATTCATAAGAAAATATTTTCAACACACAGCGCAAGAAATATGTTCAAAAAAGAATTTTTTCCTCACATTATAAGTTTGTCTGTGCAACAATGATATTAGTAGTGACTTACTTAATGAACTCAGAAACAAAGCAAAACAATTTGAAAGCTTTTGTTTAGTACTGATGAGAGTAATGACACAAACAATATTGCTCAGTTATTATGCGTTACTTGCACGAAGCACATGGGAAAAATGCATTATGGGCTGGTCACATCTATCCGTCCGTCTGTCCAGTTGATTACACCTGAGAACCACTGGATGGACTGGAAAGAAATCTGGTACGGAGGTTGTGCCATTCTGCAGAATGTCAAAATCGTACTTATGAATGTTCCAATAGTAGTCATAAAAAAGACATAGAAAATCGTGAGGTACACACACACAGTAGGCCACTGTGGTGCTGCAAGCTGGTGGCCAACTTGAGAACTACTTAAATATGAATTCATTACTTTTCAATGATTACCATAATTACCATGGTTATGCATTATTTGAATATTTTCCTTGGTTACCATGATAACCATGGTTCATACTGATATAAGTGGAGAATCAGCTAAAGTGTTCATGTATGTTAAGTTAATCAGCTGAAGTGTTCATGTATGTTAAGTATGATATAAGTGGAGAATCAGCTGAAGTGTTCATATATGTTAGGCCATATTAGTTCAGGTTGTGTTAAGAGAAGTCCATTTAGGAAAGGTTAGGTTAGCTTAAAACCACATGGAGTATGCAAGCACATTTGTAAGTTACGCTTGCCTGTGTGTGTGGATGTGTGCATGCCAACCCACTTACACACACTACAAAACAACTAAAACTGTCAACCTCCTATTTTGGTTTGTTACTGCAGCAGAATGAAATCAGTTTTCATCTTTTCCTCATATAATAAATCACCCTCCTTATGTAGCCAAAACACATAATTAAAATTACAGATAAAGAAAATGAGAAAACAATATATGTTCCTACCTCATCACTGTTCAGCCAAAGTTAATGTTACAGACTAATCTGGAGACATATGAGTTATTCCCCCTAAGTTCCTACAAATTAACATGCACAGGGAAAAATTTTAAATCTCTCAACAGATTCTGACACGGGACAGAAAAGAAATGCAGGGAACTCGCAAACAAAAGTGTGGTGAGAGTATGCAATTAAGTGTTTAATGTTTTATGAATTTCTATGATACTATCTCCAGTCAGAATGAAGCAGTCTGTTTGCTTTTATCAATTACTCACTGAAGGACAAAAGAACAGTATCACGCTCCTCTTGAGTGGCTCTGATTCGTTCATGTAAAAGCTGAAGTTTGTCCTCGTAGTGTTGTCGCATAAACTGGATTCGCTTCTGAGACCGTTCCAGTTCCTCTATCAGCTTCTGTTTGATGTTGATCTCTGAGGTCAACTCCGCCAGCTCCAAACCGTAACGTGCAGTTTCTTCATCTGAAAAGTTACCACAGACGTAATTCAAATGTTTCATTTATAATTGTAATACACATAACAAATCATGAAAAATTATGGATGCTTTGAGCCCAAAGTTTGAATAAATGGAATGCTTACCTTTATCCTCTGTGTCTGTGTCGCTGTCACTGTCTTCTTCATTTTCACCAGCTGCAATAATAAATAAAAATATTCAATCATCAAAATTAAAAGTAATATGACAATTTAAAGACATAATAATGGAATGAGAGGGAAATTCTTTTAGACGGATGAAAATAAATAATTGTTAAACAAAAGTAACCCAAAATACAATAGAAAAACAAAAAAATAAGAAAAATATATGTAGTGACAAGTAACCTTTGGTTTGAAAATTAAAGTAATATTTATCATCATATTGTGTTAAATACTCGAGTTAAAGTATCTTCATTATTCTAAAAGGATTCTTTAAATGAATGACCTCAACCAGTGGTCCATGAACTGCTGGTGGTCAGTGACTGTAGTTGAACTGCAAATTATAGTCAGCATTATAATAACACAACAGAAAAATCACATTTTTCTGATTAGTTACTTTTACATTTCCTGTCGATCATCAAACCACTTGTGTTTAACATTTCTTTCTCTTTCTGGCCAAGCGGGAAGGAAAGAGTATTGGAGCCAGTCAATGCATACCTCAAAAATGGGAAAATACAAACATACAAACACATAACAAATTATCTTTGTGGATTATTTTTTTAAATGCAAACATTCAGTGAAAGTTATTATGGCATCTAATTAAAGTAAAACCACATAAACATACTGATTTTATATTGTAAATAAAAATGTGTTAATATGCTAGTATTTAGTAGGTTTGGAGACTCTTATTTGTGGGACAGACAGGATACCTATCAGTCCTGAGGAAATACATGACTGTTTTATTGGTCCGTGACTCAGCAAAGATGAAGAAGCACTACACTAAGACATGCATTCCAAGCGTGGGAACATTTGTAAGAATCATGATTACAGATGTTTCAGAGGTCCTTGCTGCCTCCATCATCTGATTGATGAGTCTCTTGATGATGGACACAGCAAATACCTCTGAAACATCAGTAAACTTCTACCAGACTACATGGTGCATCTACCCAGAAGACAGCCATCCTTAGACTGACCGCCATGAAAACCTCAGATCCTACATACTAACCCTTCTCTTCACTATCAGTATTATCACTTTCACCCTCTGCATCATCTTCCACGCCATTTTTCTTGCCATCATCACCTTCCCCTTGCTGGCCTCTACTGCTTCTAGACAGCAGTTCCATGTCCTTTTGTAGCCCTTTCTTTGCTTCAGCTATCAGGCTGCCCACAGAAGATGTATCGCCTAGTGCTATGTCAAAATTGCCTGCCAACAGAACATTTATAATATTAATTACATTTCTCTCAATTACCTAACAGTGCAGGAAAACACAGATGAGTAAATTATAAAAGATTTATCTAGAGTAATGCAGTGAACCAATCACTTGCCACACCAACATAAGGAGCAATGTTACTAGAAGATCAGCAGGCAACTCACCTGTCATGGCCACATGAGGACTAAGTGGGACTCGTGCAGGAAAACATGAAGACGCCCTCCGCAGCTGCTGACACATGGCTTCTGATTCTAGGAGTTTGGCACGAAGCTCTTCAATCTCTTTCAGGTAACCTTCTATCATCTCCGTTACATCTGAGTCACTGCCTAGAAGACAAATATAAACAGAATTTTTTTGGCACCTCCAAAATCCCTTCCCTAGGACCTGTGTAGTTCAAACATCAATTTTTTCAATCCACAATTATTTCTGTTTCATATTAAACCTTTATTGATGTACGGTTGTCGCACTGAATTTGGGACATACGAATTATTGTTTGGGCTGAGTTAGAAACTGTGAGTAATCGTATAGCATGTCTTCCCCATTGATCCTACCCTTCTCTCCCCTTCATTATCCTATTATTCAAGTGAGGATTCATCTATAAGGCCCTTGTAATGACTGTCAGCCTATTGCATATGCCTCCATGACTGTGTCTCCTCAGGACAGAAAACTTCTGGCCTTTGAACTTTGACTGTCTTGCTCTCTCATTTGGCCTGGAAAGGTTTAGGTCATATCATGAACACGTTGAATTTGACCTTGAAACCAACAATCAGGCCCAAAAGTGGTGTCTTCTGCACCACCATCAGCTCGGTACAATAGCTCACCGGGTAATCAAACTTTTGCCATTTAAGTTTGCGGTTCATCATATTCATGGCACTCAAAATGTTGTTACTGACACCCTTTCTCCTTTGGTTGCTCCTATTTTACTAGATTTTTCATGCTGCATTTCGATACTAGCTCTCATCAGAGGTCGGACGATACTCTAAGGCTGTCTAAGTCTGACAGTCATGAGACCATACTCGGGTATTCTATCTCAAAAGACATTCTCCAACATAAAGCCCGTATGCTGGGTTCAGATATTGCTAGCCAACCTCTTGAAAAGTTATTCATTGATTTTGTTGGTAAATTTCCCAATTCATAGTCTATCAACTCTTAAGCTCTCATGTGTATCAAAGCCTTTTTCCATGTTTGTATGGATATATCCACTGCGAGAGGCATCAACTGTAATGGCTATTAAATCCCTGAACCTGAATTTTGGTGTTTGTGATATTTTGGTTTCTTATAATGTAAACCGATTTGTAGTTTCCATAACATGTGTTTCTCAAGAGGCAATCGCCATGTTACTGCACCCCTCTCATGTGAAAAAATTCAACAGGAATCAGAGCCATTCTTATCACCTACCACCATCAGAGTCAATCCCACTGGGATAGAAAAATTTTGTAGTTACAAATTGTTCTTAATTCTGACAGCCATGATTCTAATAGGTTAACTTCCTTACTTACACTCAAAAGTCTCCTTTGTTGGCTCTTTGGTCCATTATCTCTTCCTGAGTGGAAAACGGATATATCCAGACCTGACCAGTGCCTCACATGTAGAAATCACATATATACACCCAGAGCTTACGAGATGTTCCAACAGACCAATTTCTCTGCCATAAGAAGTTGTATGCCATGACAGATGACTCTAATGTTCAGAGGAAGTATTTGTAGTACCACAGAGTGTAACAGATGGCAGGACTTTTGTGTTACGAGATTGCAGGAACTAAAGTTATATGTAAATGTCACATGGCAACAATGTTTTTTAAAGTTTCATATCTTCAAGATGATTTTGATACTTGAGGCAATATTTTTCAATTTTTAGCAACAATAACACTGTGCAAAAGTAATTTTAAGTAAACACTTTTATTTACTTCAATTTACTTTGGAACATAAATGACAACCCCCACGACATCCAAATCTCGTGATCACCAAGTGTGTGGAAATGGGTAGATCTAAGTGGGAAGACATTCGGAAGCCAATGTAATTAAACTGGACTCTGTGCAGTTACAGCAGAACATAAGTGAAATGAGTGAAAGAAAGAAGAATATAATGACTCAAATACAAGAGAAATTTTGGAATGTTCAGAGCATCGACATGTTATGACAGCTCACCTAGAGGCAAATTGACTGACAAACTCAGACACTTCAGTTTACCTGCTTGTATCCAGCCACCAACAGCCCTTTCAGCCAGAAGGTGGGTGTTCTTACTGCTGAGCACATCGATCGTTTCTTGCATGGCCTTTACTCTAGTTCTCAGATTGTTATTTTCTGTCTGCAGCATAGTATTTTCATGAAACATGTCATTTACGGTCTCAACGCCATCTTCGCCGAGCATCCTTTTGCCCTAAACAAAAAACAACTTTGTGAATCACACATACTACGCAACACTACATTCTTACATGCTTATGTTTACTTTTCCACAAAAAACAAAACTGTACTTTCACTATACAGGATATACACAAAAGAATGGTGCAACTGTGACTGGTGACTCATTTTTGGACATGTTGGAAAGCTGGTTGTTACCCCAACTGAATACCAATTATGACGATTACATTCTACAACTGGACGGAGCCACGAGGCAGATGAGGATCAGATAAATCTTGAAAGTAAAATCTTCCCATCAAATGACAAAATGCAAATTTCAGCAGTCAGTTTGCAATAAAATGTATTATAACATGGAAAAACACTGTCGCATTATGTGCAAAGAAATCAAAAGAAGTTCCATTTGTTCAGATTGTTAGAATTGTATGTTCTCAACAATACAGACCCCTTCAATCTAACTGTAGATTCAAAACACACACGTGACAACAAAAAAATATATCAGAAAATTACAGTCCAAATATTAGAGAAGACTATGCACTTTCTGGAATTTATTCTTTCTGAATTTCCTTGCAGCGTATCACTTCCCGAGTGAAACATCGGGAACATTTGTGGCCACTGTTCCTAAGGAATAACTTCTTTGAAAATACTTTATTTTTGTATTAGATTGCAATAAATATTTAATGGGGGGCCAGTAACAATGCCTTATTCTAACCCTCTCTTTCCAATAGTTAGTATCTATAATATTCAAGAACCACTAGGTCTTGTATTACACACCTTCAGTCTCTAAGAATTCCACTTATTTCAATGTACATTACACCAGATCCAATTTATTTTATCTTAATTTAAAACTGTAAGACTTATGAGAGATTTCTGGTTCTCATGTTGGTGAGTATGAAGAGGACAACATTCTGCTGGGAATCATCCTGTAGAAGTTGACTGATGTTTCAGAGGTGCTTACTGACTCCATCATCAGGGTGATCATCCTGCTTGATGCAATATCCCAGAAGACTGTCATCTTCATTTATAGGACTTATAATGGACTGAAGCAGTTTTAATGTCCCTTTGAATACATTTATCTGAACACATGACACAAAACAAGGTCCGACTTCATTTTAAAACTGATGCACTCAATCATACACTGGAATGGAACATAATTTCATGCATGTCTGAGAAGATGTGAAAGGTTTGGTTCAATAACTGCTACTGATAATGTAACTTTGAAATAAACCTGTTTGTATTCCAGCAGTTCCAGCTGCAACTGCTGTATCTCTTGTCGTAAGAGAACGATGGTCCGAGATGATTTATCCTGATTTATGGTAACCCTGTTTTTGATATTTCGTGCCCTGTTAGCATAATTGAGCGTATTCAGTGTTTCAATGAAGTCACAATCACTGGGTGACACACATGCTATCATTATTGTTCGGCTGTTACCTGCAAACAGTCGAGCATTGTTCATTTCTATGATTTCATATATCATTCAGATAATAGATCAGATTACTGGTTACATTAAAGTTAATAACACTCACAAAAAACTCTGTGTTCTATGAGTCATAAGTTACATTTTATTTAATGCCTTTGTTTTGAAAATAATAATTAACTACAATGGAAGGATTAGCTTGAACAGAGTAGAGTATTGGACATTATATACTAATTATAACATTTTCTTAATTTCTAATATAATAATATTCAAATTTTAATAATACATGCTGTAACCCTGGACTACTGTAAACATTTATGGTGCTCAATCTTCATTTTATGCAAGACCCACATGCTGGGCTTTTAAATCCTAGTACCCCATCCTACAAATGACCCATACGCTGGGCTTCATGCATTTCACTCACCAGAACACATTGCAAAATACATTAGATGTTCTGTTACATTTATGTTTTATGAGATTTTTTATGGCTTCAAAAGCTACCAGCACTCTTCAATATGTTACACTTTTGTGTTTTTTATGGTACACTTCAAAACACCAATGCGCTGCCCCATATAACACTCCCCACATTTTATTAGCATGCTCTTGTGTATCCCACATTCAAAACGGGCGTGACAATTCACTCTGGAGGAATGCAGTGGTAAGTGACTGCTGAAATTTACCTCGAGTCAAGTCTCTCCATGGGAACACGGTAAACTCCCAGCATTTTCAGTCAAGTTTTGCAGAAGAACTAGCTGCACATTTCTATGTTCAACTGTGGCATCACATGATCTAAAGAGGAATAAGCTGTTTAGAATAGTAAGGTCCAACAGGTGGAAAAAGGTTTTTATCCATTTCCATATCTGCCATTGAACTCACTAACTCTTCATCATTATGTCTCCTTTGCCCAAGTATCCCACATGCAACTTATAGTCCTGCACAATTTGTAGCTTGAAAGCATTTCCATTTAAGTTTAAAGTTCCATGTTTGTCGTAAAAGTTGTCTTCTGTTGCTGGTGTATTATGTGTACTTATCAGCACATACACATTACATGTACCTCTGCAGACCACTGTCTTCAAGTCATCTCATGTCCTGGACCAAATATCACGTTCTATTGGTTTGTTTGGCCATGTCTTGTGTCATTCCCATTCTCTCACGTTATCTAATTTTCTGTTTAGTCAGAACAAGAAGTCATGAGAGGAAATAAAGTTATCTGTGTTCAGCTTACATCTGTGTTCTGCCCTTTTTGAAAAGCGCTTAACTGTAACGCGTGTTGTCGTATTTGTGGTAACTCATATTCCGTTTTGTCTAAAATCCATCCTTCCCTTAAGAAGTACTAAACTTTGTTCACAGCCAGATATTCAGAAGTCCTGTCTGAGCAAGAGTCGTTCAGTAAGCAGAAAGGCAGTCTGGTAATCCAAATTCTTGCTGCCATAAAAGCCAGTCTTATATCACTACATCCATAACTAACTCAGAACACATAAGAAGATAAGTTGGTTAAAAAATAGAGAGGAGGAGGAGAAGTGCAACACATGAGCATTCTTACCTCCAAGTGAGTCCTGAAGCAACCTTGTAAGCTTTGAATCTCTGTATGGCACATGAAGCGCCTTTCTTGACTTGTCACCGAGAGCTGATATCACATTTCCCAAAGCCAACTGTAAAAGCAAAGTCAAAAAATGCACAAAGAATTGTGACGGGCCTATAATTAATTCTGAATATATGAAACATGAAAGTTATACCAGAAAAGTAAAGACATGCAACCAAAATTTAATCAAACACTGACCAAAGTCCACAATCTTCTCAATGGTGAATTACAATAACCCTTGCATTTTGAAATAGTGAAGGCTAGCAGCTTAGATACTGGTAGTTAAAATAAATTTATAAAAGTATTTCACACACTTGATAACGTGCAGAACTATAAGTAATAACGGTACAGATGTTCTTATAATGTGCACGAGGATGAAAAAGCTAGAAAATGTAAGAATAGCATAATTCTAGTTCATGTGTTCTGTTATTGCATCCAAATTTTGAACTTATGAATGCAAATTTTAGGGGTTATCTTACAAATCTTGTCAGTCAGTCGGTACAGCTTGGATGTGGGTTTCAGTGCCTCAAACATGGGTTTACTAGTCACCCAATAGTTACAAGTAATTATTCTGGATGTAAAGAACAACAAGATCTCACAGTGTCATGACCCAGAAGGCCTGAATCAACATACAGATAAAATTATTATATGGTACAAATAAAAACTTACGAGACCACAGTTTATTGAGATTCCCTCTTTTGCACGTTCACCAGTGGCTCCGGTCCTCTTCAGGCGTTCTGACCCTGCTAGGTCAACAAAATGGAATTTGGCTGAAAGGGTTTCAAACTCACTAGATGGATCAGTTGCTACCACACAGTCCCCATCATCTACATTCTGAAACAAAGTAAATAAATGCAAGAACTGTACTAGCACCGGCAACAAATTTAAAATGCTTTTGACGTGGGCTGGTGAGCACAGGCAGACTGAATCTCTTTGTCTGATTTGCCACTGAGGACATTGCAACTACTGACTTGCTGGAAAGATTTGAGTGATGAGTCTCTCTCCACCAGAACAGAGGAAGACCCGAGAAGATTAGCACTTAGGAGAAGATGCAATTCACATCATTTCTACCCCAAGTGTATTCCAGAAATGAGGTTAGTGAAATTCCATTGCAGTTCACATAATCAATTTTAGATTTAACCACAGAGATCAATTCTGGTGGCAATGAGACACACCTCAGCACTCTGAGCAGCAGGTACTCACTTCCACTTTCACCATCCATTGTTGTTTAATGTGAAGTGTGAATATTGCATGTGAGCGTGAAGACTGAGAATTCATCTGGGTGCTGGCCGTTGTCCTCGAGAGTGCTCCCATGCGCAAGCACTGAAGAGCATCCTCAGCCGACATGATGGGCTTCATAGTTACTCCCATTACATAAATGCCTCCAGAAGCATCTTCGTGGATTTTAATTCCGCCCTTCCCCTGAAATTAAAGAATCTGAATGTTAATTAAAACACCCCAAAGCAATGAACATTGCAGTTGAGTATTGGGAATTCCTGGGTTACCTATCAGCCAGGAGTACAGATGTCCTGAGACAAGTACTTTATGCTCAACCTCAGTCCTTCAAGGCAACACCTCACACTAAGCCACAACCACTTCCTTCCATCATGTGTGCCTATGGCTTTCAGAAATAAGCCACGATGACTTTCGCATGTTCTCAAACATTCAGCGTGCACTGCAATTGGCATATTCATTTTGAATGTCTGAGAGTGTAAGGGTTCCCTTACAAAGATCTGGAAGAGACAATTAACTGAGCAAGGGTGGAGAGTGCAGCCTGCCTCTTTGCTGGATGCTGCTTAGCAATTCCCAGCATTGTCACTTTAGTCCTGAAGATGAAGACATGATACTTCTCCAAAAAGTTGGCTTTTATTGGCTAGTCCACATAGCAAAAGAACCAAATACAACATCTTCAACATTGTCACTGCTGTGAAAACCTAAAATCTCACATAGTACAGACTACGTTCATGTATGATCTAAAACAGACGATGCTCATCACCGTGGATAAAGACCAGCAGCTGCTGACTGACGAAGATGGTCAAGCAGATAGTTTGGGTGGGAAGACAAACACCAGGCTTTGCTTAGTCTGTATCCTTCCATCGTTGTCTTAATAGGATATCTTCACTTTATGTTCCATCATAGGCAAGTCACCAGTGTCAGGCTAACGTTGAAGTAAATATTGCATTAGAGTTAAAATCCTGAGGTCTGCATCTCTTTGTCTTGTATGTTGTACTTGCACAAACACTAATTAAAATGGGGCACGCGTATAATATACAACTACGAGGTGCGATCGAAAGGTTTCCAGACTGTGCGTATAAAAACCCGTACACTTATCTCAGGTATTAAATTCATCCATCACCCTCGAATTAGTTCCCCTGGGAGTGAACACAACGATCCCAGCGCCGCTGCCAAGCCTGGAAGCATCCCTGGAAATCTTTCTTTGTCAGCCTGTCAAGCACCATCTGCGATTCTGCCTCAATCTCTTCTATCGTCTCAAATCTCCTTCCCTTTAGCTGAATTTTCATCTTGGGGAAGAGGAAGAAGTCACACGGAGCTAA